GTTGCATATCCAAAAAACTCTAGACCTGTAGCCACACTAATTTGGAGACGTGAATTTTCTATACAATATAAGAGCAGCCACCGCTCTATAGTAAATTTTCTATAACATTTACACCAGCTCTAAATTTCATGGGTGTACATGACACTGGCATTTGAATAAAGCAGAATCAAAAATTTTGGCCGGAAATGTAAGGAGGTTACTGTGATAATCGTCGGATTATTTTAATTAACTATTTTTTTTCATCATTTTTTATAGAGATAAAACTTATTTGCTGCTTTTCCTCACATGGCACGTGCGAGAGGAAATTCTCATATAGGCTTAATCAATGTATGTGAGAGGAAATTCTCATAGGCTTAATCAATGTTTGCGGTTTGTGGAGCGCTGATTTAGGGAGCCTGGACTGCTCTAAAGACGCTTTTATATTAATTAATTTACTTCTTAAATGGGGATAACAAATTTGGATACGTGATAAAGAAACCACAATTTTAATCCCAAAAAATAAAATAAAAATAAAATGGTTTCTTCCAAAAAAAAAGGTCAATATTTATCTCTTGCGTCAATTTGTTTCCTCCAACTAAAGAATCGATCGAAATCCACCACGCCAATAATTTCCTGAACTAATTTTCATGCCGTGTACATACATACAAGGGCCAAACAAAACACGGCCACTCTATAAAAAAAACACACATCCAACGCGACGGCATTCATTTCCATATAAATTTTCGGTGATTACTAATAATTGGGAAAGTTGAGAAGCCATTATTTTTCTGCGGCATAAATTTTTTTTTCCCAGCAGCAGCACACGCTGGTTTGTGTAAAATGGAAAGGGGGCCGTGTGGCAGTTTGCATGTTTTGCTATTAAAAAAGGTCAATAAATTCTTTTTCCATCGCTCAGCTCGGCGCACTCTCGAAACGCTAATCACTGCCTGTGATCAAAATTCACTCTCGGCGGCCACATTGATATACTGTCCATTACCACGAAAGCGGGCGAACCAAACTTATTAATAATATCGCGTATATACGTGAAAAATAGCTGCCATGCTCAAAACGAAACGACGAGGAGAGACGCCGCCGTGTGTATAAATTTCCTATACATGTGCGCGCCGGTATCATGTGTGGCGCAATAAATTTCGGCGACGTCATACTGTACTTTTATGCTCATTAATTCTTGATATTCTATTTTCGAGCAGCATAAAACATGCTCTCGGTGCGCACGGGGTGGGTAATAAGTAAAAGGCGGCCATATTGGCTTTTGCATAAAACTTATATTTCGGAAAAATCATCACGCAATGCTGCATTGCACTCTCATTATTTATATTAGCGCAGCACCACCGGTGACGGCCCCGGAGTAAAGTACTTTCAAAGATTAAATTTGATTATGTCGAGAGTGCCTAGCATGGAAGCCTAGAAAGCGAAGCCTTGATGATTTTTTATATTCTTTCATTAGCGACGGAAGAATTTATGTGAGGTTGACATGATACCCTGCTTTTTTAATTAGACTTATTGTATTCGGATAAATATTAATCCCAAAATTCGCTGTTGATTCGGCATGCAATTTAAATCACGAGCTTATCTCTCCTCCAGTTACAAACGGGCAATTAATTTCAACCTCTTGGTAATAATATTAAGACCAAACGTAAATCTGCTACAATTATTCAATTTATTATGGCCGATATAAAAAAAAAGGTAATTTCCTTCAGCTGACAGCTCACGTTTTAAAATTTTAAAGAGACAATGAAACGACGTGAAGTACTTTTTATTTCATCACGCTATACATTTTCGTGCCTTTTTACTGCCAAAAGTAATCTGTATTTTTTAATGTTTGAAAAATAAATTTAACATTTTGAATTGAAGAAAACGGGACGAGGGTTCAATCAAATATTTAGGGCGTTCGAGGGGAAAATTATTCGCAAGGGTAAAGGAAATGTGCAATAATTACTATTTTTCCTATAATATATTTGCATGTTTCATTATTTAAGAGAAAAAAATTGGTACAAACAATTTATCTGAATAAATGAAATATTTAAATAAAATAATGCAAATTTAAATTAATTAAAATTTTACAATCTAAAACATACTTTTCCATTAAATTAGCTTTCACACTTCTCTTTGCTTGCTCTCCTGCAGTTACACAACATATAAGATTGTGAGTTTATCTGCAATGCTCAAATGAAATCAATAATACGCAAACGTACTTGATTTTCTTTTCAATTTAAGTCTCTCTCGAGCGCCCCGCATACAATAATAATAATTGTTGTTGCACGCACCGTCGTCCGTGATTGATTGGCGTGTTTGCGCTAATTAGCCGCATTAAACACTCGCGAGAATTCTTGACGCTTATTACTCTCATTGACCCTGTTTGACGTCGCACAGGACGCATACGAGAAATCACTTAGCGCCTGTAATATGTGCATGTCACTTGGCAACTCGTGATGCAGCGCGCAACTCTTAATTCACCTTCGACTGAGATTAGAGCGCGCAGTCACTTCAAATGACGTTCGGAATATTTACTGCCGGTGCATTGCTCGCTGCTGCGTGAAATGTTTTAATTTATTCATAAATAATAACGCGTTCACGTCAATGTAAAAGGCAGCTTTAAATTAAAATCAATTATATTTATAAATAAATGTATAAGGTTTTTTGTAAAGATAATAAATGATATTTAATCCTGCTGCAGGTTACATTGAGATTGATTAGTGATTGGATATAAATAATAATGCAGAAATAATAAAATGTAAACTAATAATGAAGTACCTCTAGAAAGTTGAGTTCATTTTGTATTATCTGAATATGTTTACAGGAATTCTTGTAAAAGAAAAAAAGGAATTTAATAAATGAAAAATTATTGTGGGGTATGAGGAACGATCTGATGCTTTTTTTCAAATTAGGTTTTTTTTTTCCTAATTGATTCTATTCAAAATATTTATATTTTTAATTTAAACTTATATACATGAAAAGTTGGCTTATGATAGTTTCTGATGCCAAATTAGCAGGAAAAAATATCTCCCCAAAAATTTAAAACTATTTAATAATCCATGCAACGATCTAATTTTGAATTATCAAGACAAATTCTAAATTTTTATGCAGAGTCCATTAAAGAACAATTTTAATTTTCTACTTAATGATTAAAAATCTTTCTGAAGGAACATTATTTCTCTGCATTGCGATGTAATGACCGACATAAATCTTCTCGCATAACGAGACTCTCTCGCCTCGCACCATGATGCAGTGTTAATCTGAAGTATGTGTGTATGCTTATTGACAATGTCACATAAACCACCAGCATTATGAAAACTGCCTCTCAAGAGAGCAATAATTAAAAATCACACATACGCACAGTTACTCGCTCTCTCTGTGGCAAAATGTGAGCAACATGTAAGTCAAACTCATGTGCACGCCATCAATTCTCGCGCAGCTGATCAGACAATTTAAAAGAGCACCTTTGTGTCGCAGCTTTCTCCTCATCGTCTGCTGCAATTCGCAGATATAATTACTAAAAAAGGCGCGCACAATTAGAGCTCATTATTATTTACTTATTTACACAAAGGATTAGAGCAAAAAGGATAAAAAAAAATTAGCACATGCAGAGGAAGCAGGATGAGCGCAATTTTGGATAGTTAATATCTTATTACAGAGCGCAATTTCATCCAGAAATGAGAGTGCAATTTAACTTAATTATGTTTCCTGACCCTATTACCAAACATTTTTTTAAAGAAAATTTGAAGGATTTCCTGGTGAGGAATAATTGAATGAAAACATTTAAATATTTCCCTGAATTTTATTTTTTTTTTCATTTTCAGTAAATAGTATTTGGTATTTGTAAGGTTTTTTTTTCATTTTCTGAATTATGTCGTGAGAATCAATATGGTGTCGATTCCCAGTGGCACCGATTTTTTTTCGACTGCTCATGCGATCGCAGAGATACAAAAACCACACACGCGGCAATCAGACCGAAAACACACTCACACAATATTTTTGTGGTGTTTCCACGTACAAAGAGCTATTATTTACCAAAATCGATTCCTTTTAAATAGTAACCCCGGCTCCGCGGCGCTCCCCTGGCTGCTTTTAGTGCTTCGCTGGAAACGCTAAATGTTATTATTATTTTTATTGACTCGATCGTGATGATAGGTGGATATATGGACAGGGACACGTATTAAACAAACACAGCAGGAGAACCCCTTTCTCGCATACCACGGCCGCGAGCCGGAGGTGTATTGATGACTCAAGGGATTTTTTATTTATTTAATATGCCTTCGACCGCGACTCTCCCGTTTTATGGCAGCGCGGATCATTATTTTTCAGACGAGTGTATTTATTTTCCTGATAAATTTGTGGAATCTGTCCGTGCTAGGAAAACACCACGCGTGGTCAACGTGCAGCGATTTTCGGATGCACAGAAACGATAACACTTGACGTAGGAAAAGAAAGACCGATTCGCGGAAATCCCAGCGAGTCTTGATTTTGTTTTCCAACGGCAAAAGTCAATCTTCCCAATCAAGCACCATTCAGGAATAATGAATCATGTTTTCACTACATGTTTTCCTAATAATATGTAATTTAATAATAAAAAATTTAACAGTAAAGGTAGAGAAATAATTTGATTTTTTTTTTTTTTTGTAAATAATTAAAGGAGAGATTCAAATTTTGAGAAATAATTTTGATTTATTAGTTGCAAATTTATATATAAATTCTTACTTAAGAATTTTATTTAAAAAGTTATGCTAAATAAGGCAAAATGTTTGTATGTATTGTTGCTCTGCACTACATACATACATACATAATATGATTATTATTGTGCAAGTCTATTCAAGTGCAAGTGAGAAGAAAATGCAATACATAATTGTGTATGAGCAAAATAGGCTAAACTCTGGCAAAAATCTCAAAATCACGGCATTAATAAGGCTGACTTGGCGTTGTTGGCTGAGTTTATCAAGAAAATCAGACTTAACTATGAGCCTGCTAATTTTGCAAATCGAGAGAACGAGAAGGGAACTTACTTTTCCGCCGGCGAATGACGAATCTGGCTGGATTGCGTGCTGCTGCGATGACTGGAAAGCTCTTCTCACTTTGCATTTCAGCCGATTTTTGCCAACTTCGGGCCAAATTCTGGCTTAATCTTGACCCTGACCCCGGCGAGACACGATGCACTTTGTCAACAAAGAAAGCAAATCATGTGTGGGCGTGTCCGATTGTCTTGGGGAGAAAAGCGCGGGAACGAGTTTGGCAACCAGGGACCTCATTATAGCACCATTTGACGTTGACCTTGATCATAAGAATAACATTACAAGGTCATGCAATGCTGATCGCTATAATGTGGTCCCAGACAAATTCCTCCAATAATTTAAATTAAATAATTTAAATGCCTCTATGTGCCTGCTTAGCTGCATTAAGCTGAACTATCAAATGCACCAGGTTTCTTGATTTTCATCATATATTTATTTCCCCTCGCGCCTGCTTTTCCTGCCGTAATTTTTTCGGGCCTTGCTCGCGATGCACCGGGCCGAAGCACATTTCCTGAATCCAATAATGACCCCATCCTTTCTTTCTTTGCCGCACGCTAATGACGACGACGGCGGGCAATCATATAAATACCGCGTGCGAGAGTTGATGGCTTATAATACATCTGAAGACTCCTATACCAAATTGATTTTCCTTGGCACTAAATCTTTTTATGGCTTAATGACTCAAACAAAAAAGCGGCGAGGTCATATTTTTTTGAAGAAAAGGAAAGGAAAAGACGAACCCGCCTGTCTGCCACATTATAACGTGCGGGTGTAAGTGGAGCCGAGAAAGAGCTGGATGATGAACGGCCTGGGTGTTGTTGCATCAAAAGCATAACACAATCGGTCGCTTCTTTCGATCCACCTTCATTTCCTCCTTGTGAAAGAGGGCAGGTGCAATTTGATATTTTTACATTGAATGAAATCACACAGGAATAAGCTTATAAGATATAGGTGAGGAGAAGACATAAATCTTTTCAATTTGACAAAATTTAACTTTTTACTGAAATTGTGAGTGAAAACATTGGTTCATTAAAATTCAAGTTGGTGTCAAAATTTTAATTTCAGAATGACAAAAAAAAAACAATTTCATTTGTTGTAAAAAACTGTACACATGTAAAACAAAAACAAGGAATACATTTTAAATAAATTACAATGTTAATAAAAAAATATTAATTAAATTAGAATGCCGATAAATTGTTCTCAAATCATATAATTGTTATAAAAAATTTTGATAATTAGAAGAAATATCTTTCAAAAATGCAAGATTTAAAAGGTAAGATGTGTGTGCGTCAGTGTGTTTCAGGTATGTATGTTTTTAACACATGTAAACTGTTATTAATTACTTTGCGAAGATGTTCCAATAAAAACCTGCAGAACAGGTTCGCGCGCCGAGACGCGCGAGAGGCTCGGGTGTGCTGCCGGCTGATGATCAGCAAGCATTCTATATCTCTCCGCACGAAATTCATTATTGCGTGCGTCTCTCTCATTGTACATATATAAATGGTCCGCGTGTGTGTGTTCGACAACAAAACGCCGTGTTAATGTCTTTTCAATAGCGCAGCATCACGCGCGCTTCTCTCTCTACATTCATGTTCTTGTTAATAATAATGACCGAGGCGATTTGGAAAAGCTGCTCATTATTTTATTGCCGATTCGCACGAAGCACGCTCATTTGCTAATCAATATGCTAATCACCATCGAGTGAACGCGCGGCGTGCCCTTCAGCGATTTACAAAGGAAACAAAGTGCGAAATGAAAAAAAAAATGATTCCTTTCCTTGGGAAAAATGTGAATAATGTTTCATACAAATGGATAAGCGTGATATTTGACATACACTAAGGCGCAACCAAAATTAAATAAAGTTGAATTAAAAATTTAGTTTACTGATTTTAATGAGGATTTTTTTTAAAATTAATTTACTCAAAAGTTTTTTTCGAATTTATTTATATTACATAAGTTAAAATTTTCACTTTATGGTCATATTTGCTAATCATTAGTCAATTATTTTTCCAGTGATCAATTAATTTAATTAATAAATTATAATTTATAATATTTCTGTGTCCAAACTTCATTCAGTTTTCTCTTTCTCAAAAAACTATCTCTTAAGATTTTAATTAAAATTTGTTACCACATGAAGATACAAATTAACAGGCCGACCATTAGCAACAAATTTTTCAGGCAGATTAAATTTACCACTTTAAAATCATTTTACATGTGAAATATTTTTGCAGATTTTTTTTGCACACAACTGCAAGAAATAAAGCAGAGCCAAAAAGTGAGCCCTTGACAAACGCCTTGAAGAGATTTATGAAAGTGGCGAGAAAAAATTCTGACGGAGGAGGAGATAGGCTGCGCACGATATTGCACACAATATTCGCGAGATTTTTGGAGTGCTCGGCAAATTTCCGTTTAGCGCTGCTGGGGCATTTCTTTGAGTTATGCGGCGGCGGGCGAGAGATGAGCATTCGGCATCACAGGGTTGAATTCCATTCGCCACCACAGATAAAAAGTCGCATCCGCCCTGTGTCTATATATTTAATATTACACAGAGCAACCCCTTTCATATCGCGGCGGTGCAGAGAGAGACTGGAGGAGTTTTCGGGGTCGCTCAGGAAATACAACAACTATGCGCGCAAGAGAGGATGAAAAAATGCCAAAGCCAGAGAGAGAGAGAGAGAAAGGGTTAAAATAAGCGGTGTGTGTGTGCGGCGTGGTCTAAAAGTGTGGCTAACCTTTGTGGTAAGTATTTTGCGGTGCAAAGGAGAATGCATAAGATAAAGGATTATTTTAAAAAGATAAAAGAGACGATCCTCAGAGGTATTTATTCGGAATGAAATTGCTGGGCGGTCAAAATATTTTAATATCTCCTCCTCCTCCTTTTTGTCTGCGGTTTTCTGCTGGAAAATCAATGCTACCACATGAACACAGATACACGTTTGCAGGAAAAGAGCTTAAGTCCGCTCTTCCTTTTGAACCCGTACATAATCCGTCTAATGTGGAAAACTGGTTTGATTAAATTTTTTTCAGTTTTTAAGGGATTTCATTTAATTTATAAAATATATTCAATCAAACGTAATTATGGCCATATTTTAATAATTTGCAAAAATATCTGTAGTCAGGCCGCCGAAAGCGAATAACCAAGGAAAGCGGTGTGGGCGCAGCTTAGGTATAGGGAAATACACAGAAAAAGCCCCTGTAAAGTAGGCTTTTTTCCCGCTTTCGACGAACAGACGTATATTATTTCAACATTAAAAATGTATGAAGAGTTCATAAAAATATCCATTATTATTAACAATTATTTATTAAAATGGCTCAACAAATCTCAATTCATATATATTTATTTCTTCTTCAAAAAATCAAACATTAGATTTGTAAGTTTTGTTGTGATATTAGGCAATGTATAGTAATGAACAATTGCGAAAATTATATACATACATAATAAATATGAATCACGTCAAGGAAACAACTGGCTTGATTCCTAGAAATCTATAGCAAAATATATGATATATATAGATTCATTCAGGGAAGGTCTGGAGTAAACAATTCGTGCGACTTATCAGGGTTCCACTTCATTTCCACCAACGAAAGACGCACGGTGGGCTTTACGAATCTCAGACTCTGATCCCATACTACATGTGAAAAAATCAATTTCAAAAATCGTGATTGAAGCTGTAAATTAATAAAGTGGAACGAAATTGAGATATTAAATTTTATAGCCAGCAATTTGAGCTAAGAGCGCACCTTGAATCAGGATACCAATCAATAACTACAGGAAAAAAATTCATAAAAACTGAGCGAGCAATAAAACCCATTATTAAATGTAAATTTCGAGAGCGATCTGTGCTCGATCGCGAGAGTGAGATGGCGGCTACTGTGCACACATGATGGATGTAGCCACCTAATGTGTGGCCCCATGCGAGCCGCGAGCCGGTATGTTATTGAATTAAAAATTCAAATGGCGCATTGTGGCGTTCGATTTGATCGATGTTGCTCCATTATCGACGCCGTGTGATCAAGAAAATAAAAATATGAGAGCCCCGGAGAAGAATTGAATCGGGCAAAAGGTGTGGCCGGCAGCCCGTGGGTGGGCATTCAAATACATATCCACATCTCTATAATGATTCATCTCTTTCAGGCCCTACATGTGTGCATATAGCAGCAGCAGCAGAGATGTCTTATCAAATGTGCTACCGAATTGCTCACTGTCTGCTGCCATGCTGGGCCTCTTTGGGAGAATCCATCCCAAATCTCAGTATCATTTTTAATTTTTAAATAAAATTTTAAATATAACCAGATGAATATTTTGTGAATTTTGCTATTTTGACATGATTTTTAGTTTTATGATACTTTATAATTGGCCTTTAAAATTAAAAACTAAATTACATTGCTTGTGACTTAAAAATATATTTGCATTATATTAATGATTAGCAACTGAAGAGGAATTTCAGTCTGTTTAAAAATATTAAACGATATAATCGTTAATGAGAGCTTAATTTGAAAAATCACATAAATTTAATACCAATATTTTTTCTACATAACTATAATATTCAATTCAATCCTTCTTGTTTAGTATTATTTCATGATATATAAGTCAATTTTGATCATCTTTACATTAATATAGGAGAAAACTAACCAAGCTCTGTCCAACTAACATTTCAGATACCTATGATCACATAGATTGGGGCCAATTAAAATTTACTATATTTTACTACCTTTGTTTCCAGTTTAATATTTATATTTCTTATCTACGTCTTTATTAAAGAGCCAAACAAAATTATACAATAATATGAAAAACAATAAATTATTTAATTAAAATAATTATTTTAAAATGAATATATATTTTACTTAAATTTTTCTTAAATAAATAATTATATAATTTTTTTGTTAATAAAATTAATGCAATGTATTTATTTTTGTCTTTGGTCTACATGACACTATAGCAAAGATAAAGCTACACAAGTCCAACATCATGCTCCGAACACGAGAAATAATTACCTCGCGGCTTCTCTCTTAATGACGCGTCCACTCCTCTTAATATATAATTCTTTTGCCATCCATACGTGGTACCCAATTTCAGCCTGTCATTCCTATTGATTGCGTCTCACTTAATGGCGTACAGGATTATTTCTTGGTATAAAAAGCGGATCGACCGATCG